GACATCCTCACAATCTGTTCTGAAAACCAAGGGTGTTGAGCATGAAAACGAGCAAACCGCCTGAGACATCCTCACAAACTGGCCGCGAACGGGCCCGTGAAAACACCCCTGGCGGTTCCCCGTAGGGGTGCTGAAACAAGCGCCCCGCCTGAGACATCCTCAGAATCTGATCTGAAAACCAAAGATGTTGGGCATGAAAACGAGCAAACCGCTTGAGACATCCCCACAAACTGGCCGCGAACGGGCCCGTGAAAACACCCCTGGCAGCTCCCCTTAGGGGTGCTGAAACCAGCGCCCCGCCTGAGGCATCCTCACAATCTGCTATGCAAGCAAAGGATGTTGGGCATGAAAACGAGCAAACCGCCTGAGACATCCCCACAAACTGGCCGCGAACGGGCCCGTGAAAACACCCCTGGCGGCTCCCCTTGCAAGTCTGAGTATGACTAGGTCTGAGTATGAGTAGGTCTCAGTCCGTGCGTTGAGTAACTCAGACCAGGAGAAGGTCTGAGTATGTGTAGGTCTGAGTATGAGTAAGTCTGTGTATGAGCAGGTCTGGGAACGAGTCTGGGTATGAGTAAGTCTGAGTATGAAGGAGTCCCAGCATGAGTAAGTCTGAGTATGAGTAGGCCTGCATGTTGTGTGTTGAGTAAGTCAGACCATGAGAGGGTATGAGTATGAGTAGGTCTGAGTATGAGTAAGTCTGTGCATGAGTAGGTGTGTTCTCTCTGGTTCTCTGGAGTCGGCCGCGTCCGAGTAATAACAAGAACCCCATCTTAGGATATGGGGAAACATGCCCCGTCGCTTCCAGGGCCCAGATGGCCCTGAGGCCATTCTTCGACGCCGGCTGCCGTCGTCCCCGCCGCGGCCCCCCGCGACCGTCGAGGCTTCGATCCTCGAGCGTTCGATCCTGGAGCCTTCGATCCTCGCGCCTTCGATCCTCGAGCCCCCGATATTCGAGCCCCGATTCTCGCGCCTTTTTGGTTGTGTGGTAGTCGACCACGAACCAAGACACATGCCTGTTCATGTTGGAAATACGCTGCCAACTCCCTGTTACTACATTGATGATTCTGCGCCGCATCTACTAAGCCGAGCAGGGGGGGGGCTGGGAAGGGTCAGGCTATTCCTTGACAGAGATCCTTGTCACGATTTGTGGCCGCCACGATCGCTGCGGCGACCTCCAAAACAGGGCTGAACCTAAACGGTGTTGTTCGTTTTCGTTTTGTTTTCGTTCTCCCCCGTTTTGTCTCCAATCCGCCTTTACCGCACAGCGAAATCGAAACGACAACGGCCCACGAAATCGCCAAAACACCGTTGAGGTCCAGCCCTGCTCCAAAACCGACCTGGAGGTGTGACTCGGGCTCGGATGTCACGCAACGAGCTTTGGAGGCCCCTGGGGCCGCTCCTCGACGCCGAGTGCCGTCGTCCCCGCCGCCGCGCTCCGCAACCGAACCGCCGCCGCTGCCCTCGCGCGCCGCCCTCTCCTCTCCGCCGCTACCGTCGCCGTCGCCGTTCCTCTTGGGCGTCCCCGCCGCCCCGCGGCGGCGGTGGCCCTGTGAGGGGTCCCAAAACAGAATGAAGGCACGCCGTGTCTCGGAATCGCTCGGACCCGTTTCGCGCGAGTTGGTTTTTGAAGATGATCCAGCATGCTCCAACATGATCCAGAATCTCTGACGCTGGCCTCGCTGAGAAAAAACACGTCAAAGCGACGCCAAAGTGCGGTGACATGGAAATCCCCAGAAACCTCACCACGCAATCCGTCACCGCACGGTCTTGGGACCTCGGAGACTCCGGTCGCCCGAGACGTCCTCGAAGAACGACCCGAGTCCCAACATCGTGCGGTGACCCCGAATCCCCATTGACCCATTTGGATGCCTCCGAATCTCGTGAGTGGCAGGATCTGCCATCCTCGAACCGAGCGATGGGACCGGCTCAGAATGTGCATCGAACCGGCCCGCATCAGCATGGAGCCGGAATCGAATCGAATCAGCCGCGTCAAGATGCGCAACAACGCCTTGCGAACATCGGACAAATCGGATCATCGGAATATCGGAATCGAGTCAGATCAGGCCGCCCGAAGTCGATATCAAATCGGATCGATCGGACCCAAAAATGAACTCCAGGAAGGCTGGGGCCACCTTCGGCCGGGGCAAACTCAGGCAACGCCCGAGCTGCTGCAGGGATTGGCAATCGGGTTGCTCGGGGACGGACTAGCCCGGGTCAGCACAAACCCGGATCGGTCACGGCCCTGTCGCGAACCTGGGTCAGCGGAGGACAGACAAGGGGAATCGGCCCCACCTGGCTCCCAGACCCCAGCAAGCCAGAGGGGATGGTTGACCCCCGTTAGCACTGCCACCCGTTGCGTGAGCCCCGACTTGCGCGCTCGTGACGGTCTCCAGCGGCCTCTGGCGGAGCTACGGCGCAGCTCTGGCGGTCTTCGGCGGCCTCCTGCGGTCCTGCGGTCCTTCAGCCGTCCTTCGGCGGCCTCCAGAATGCAAGCGCTGCCAGGGCGGCAGTGATCCGCGGAAGATGGCTGGACTCCACCAGCACCCCTGGCGAGGGCGATCCTGGGCTTTAACTTGGAGTCTGATGTGGCTTCAAGAACTCAAAGATATGATTGGCCACGAAAAACACATATTGGAACGCTCTGCGTCCGCCTGGACGGCGGCCCCTCCCTCCCGTCCTTCCCCTCCCGTCGTGCGTCCGCTGCATGAGTTGGAAAGGCGGGAGCGATGCTTTGTGGCCGCGCCTCAGGAGTAGCCCACGGGCGCTTGCTGGGGGTCACAATACCTAGGAAAGAAAGAAAATACATCTTTAGACCCCCCTGAGGTGAGAGAGGACGGGGGTACCCCCTTTGTAATTCTGGGCCTGACATTAGACCCTCAGCCCGGGTCCCGGGATGGCCCTGGCCAGACATGATGTCCAGAGGCCTTCTGCGGATGTTCCCTCCTGGCCAGCACCTGGAAGGGTGTGCACATCATCCAGAGGCCCATGATGGCCTTGGCCAGGGATGGCGGCGGTGTACGGCCGCCTTCCGCCGAGGTCCTTCCGCGCTCGAGGCAAACAACGGCGGTCGGGCTCGGGAGAGCTGGACGGCTGCGCAGGAGAGTGAAGCCTGGAGCAAAGATGGAGGAGGCGGAGGAGGAGGAGGAGGACAGATCCTGCCCGTCTTCTGTGGCAACGCATGGGAACCTCCCATACCATCTTGCTGGCTCTCTCTCGAACCGTCGCTAACCGACGCGACTCGACGCTAAACCGACGCTAATCGATATCACATCGGCGCTATCGCATTGTTTACCAGACGCTAATCGACGTGAGTGCACTGAGAAAGACTTGCGAAGGTACACAATGCTCACATGACTTGCTACCGAACCCGTCTGGAACTGCGGGGGGCGGCCCCCATCGACGCGGCTGCACCCGACTCGGAATCCTGTCGGGCGCGCTCTCCAACGGGTACAGAGGGCAGCTTTGAGGGAGGAATTGTTCCATGCCGCATACGCCAGAAAATCACACAGCCGACACAAGCCGGGCCATGTCAACACTTGGCGGGGGCCGCAACAGTACTGCTCAACAGTGCTGGCAGCTCCTCCAGCAGCGCAAAAACCGTTCGAGCCTGGCGTAGTGAGAAAAAGAGAGAGAGAGAGAGAGAACCGATGTCTGGAGAAAGTTTGATAGGTTCGTGGCTGTCCGCACGGCTGCGATGACACCACTTTGGAAAAGAAAAGAACGCTCGGAACGGAAGAAGAGAGTCCCAATCGGAGAACTGACGAAAATCAGTGCACATCGCACCCAGCGTGAGACTTTGAACGCTGCTGCATATTAAAACCTTGATTACATACCGCTCTCTCCAAAAAACATGCACATGGTGATGACCTGGGCGAACCGCCTATGTACTTAAGGTATGATCCGCTCATGTCTTTTAGCCCAGGGGAAGGTAATCTGTCCCGCGCAACGCTCAGGGTCATCCACACCAGCTCATTAGGATGACATCGCCACCACATGCGACGGCGGCTTCGTTGCCATGTCGAACCTGCTTTCTATCAAATCGGCGAGGTCCTGCATCGTCTTCAGTCTCGCCGTCCCCATGTCGGGCAGCTCGATGTCGACAGCGTCGGGCAACTCCACTTCAAACTGCTCCTCCAGGGCAACCACGGTCTCCACGACGTCCAGCGAGTCGGCCCCGAGCGCAGAGAACGTCGCGTGGCCAGTCACCCTGCTTTTGTCGACCCCGAGCTGCGCGGAGACCACCTGGGCTACCATGCTCATAGTGTCGCGCGTGGCCACGGCGGCCCTTCGCCTCCAAGCCGGTTGCAACTCCTTCCGCATGACGGGCGGCTTGTGCTGCAGGGCGGGTGCGATGGGTCCGTCACGGCACAGCGTCGTCGCGGCAACGGCAACCGCGGCCAGGGCAGCGCGAACGCTGGTCCTGGAGCGCACCATCCGCCTAAGAGGCAGGCGCCGAGTAATCCACGCTGGAAGGGAGAACCAAAAATGCCTGAGCCAAAACGGCTTGAGCCAAAACGGCTACAGAGATCGGCTCTGATGGGAGCGGGATCAGTGGAGGGCAGAAGAAACACCCTCATGAGAAGCACCCCGACAAGAGAAGCCCTTGAATGGCCCTGAGGGTCATTCCGTGCGAGCGGCGAGCGGGCTCGCATGGAATGCCCCTGAGGGTCATTCCGCGCGAGCGGGCTCGCTGATGCCGATAGCCGTTGAAATTCCAACTTTTAGGTGGGACCCCCTAGGGGCCACAAGGGAGATCCCTTCCGCGCGAACGGGCTCGCATGGAATGCCCCTGTTGGTCATTCCGTGCGAGCGGGCTCGCTGATGCCGATAACCGTTGGAATTCCAACTTTCAGGTGGGACCCCCTAGGGGCCACAAGGGAGGTCCCTTCCGCGCAAGCGGGCTCGCATGGAATGCCCCTGAGGGTCATTCCGTGCGAGCGGGCTCGCTGATGGCGGTAGCCGTTGGAATTCCAACTTTCAGGTGGGACCCCCTAGGGGCCACAAGGGAGGTCCCTTCCGCGAGAGCGGGCTCGCATGGAATGCCCCTGAGGGTCATTCCGCGCGAGCGGGCTCGCTGATGCCGATAGCCGTTGAAATTCCAACTTTCAGGTGGGACCCCCTAGGGGCCACAAGGGAGATCCCTTCCGCGCGAACGGGCTCGCATGGAATGCCCCTGTTGGTCATTCCGTGCGAGCGGGCTCGCTGATGCCGATAGCCGTTGGAATTCCAACTTTTAGGTGGGACCCCCTAGGGGCCACAGGGGAGGTCCCTTCCGCGCGAGCGGGCTCGCATGGAATGCCCGAGGATGATGATGTGTGTATGTGTTTGTGTGTGGGTGAGGGCCCCGCGGCCGTCCAGAGAAAGCACGAACCCCACTTAGGATATGGGGAAAAACGAGGACCCAACACCACAGGATGGTTGGGAACAAAAACGTGACCAAAAACAGATGCTGTACAAAACCGACAGCGGCCACTATTGTGCAGGAGACGTTTTGTCTCAAATTGGCAACGCCAGCGGCGACACCGACAGCGAGCCCTGCTCAAAATGGACAGGAATCGCTGTCGGTGTTCTCACCCATTCGTTCAATATCAAATCCATAGGAAGGATGCAAGGTAAGGATGCAAAACTCTTGAAGTCTCAATTGCAAATCAAAGCTCGTTGGACGTTGACGCTGGCTCGGGCTGGGCCGAAAAAGCAGGGGAAGCAAGATTCGCCTTGATGAAGCAGCGCATCCCTGTTATGGATTCTGACTGTACCAATGTCGATCGTACCGATGGATCGGCGCTGGACCCCGTCCAGCGTCTGCCCTTTGTTCTTCGACCTCCGTTATGGCTGCGGGGAAAGCAAGCGGCCACAACCACATAGTGTGGACACATCCTGTGAGCTGCCATGCGTATACCAACAATCGTCAGAACACCGAAGCTCTCTTAGTGCTGGCTGTGGTCGATGTGGCGTCCCAGGACGGCCACACCGACCACAACCACGACCAAACTGCTCATGTCGAGGTCAGCGGGCTTTTCCCCGATGAGCCCTCCCGAAAAATCCGCCGACCCCTTGTGGGTCTCTAGGCGTGTGAGATAGTTCCCCCCCCTATAGTCCCCCCCCCCGGGACCCCAAACCGGCGATTTGACCCCCCCCCCCCCGGGCCCGGGACGAGCGCCGCCGGGGCTTTTCCGGGCCCCCCCAGGAAGCCTCAAGACGGGCCAAGATGGCCCCAAGAGGCCTTCAAGACGGCCCACGGGAGCCCCGAGACGCCAAACGAGCGCTCCAAGACGCCCAAGATGGCTCAAACACGGGCTAAGAGGCCTCCAAGACGGCCCAAGAGGTCCCCAAGAGGCCCCAAGATGCCTCCAAGATGCGTCCCACGAGGGTTTCCTAGACGCAAAAATTGGTCCATTCCCTTCGTAAAACGTACATTTTTCACGAATTCGCTTTTTGGGCTTTCCGACGCTCCCAGACGGCCCAAGAGGCCCTAAATACCGCCCCAAGACGGTCCAAGCAGCCTCCAGGGAAGCTCCAAGGCAGCCCAAGAGAGCCCCAAGACAGCCCAAGAGGCGCCCAAGATTGCCCAAGAGGGCCCCGAAGACGGCCCCAAGAGCGCTCCAGGAGCGCTTCAAGTGGCCTCCAAGAGAGCTCAATATGGTCACAGACGGTCGAAGAGCGATCAAAGACACCGACGATCGCCTCCAGACGGCCCAAGACGGCCCCAAGAGGCCCCAAGAGGCCTCCAAGATGCGTCCCAGGAGGGCCCCTCGGCGCAAAAATTGGCCCGTTCCCTTCGTGAAACGTACATTTTTCACAAATTTGCCTTTTGGGCTTTCCGACGCTCCCAGACGGCCCTGGAGGCCTCCAATACAGCCCCAAGGTAGCCCAGAGGCGTTCGAGCCGGGGTCATCCGGGCTCCGGTGGATCCCAGCTCGAACGCCGCCGGGGGGAGCAAAGGGCCCGAAAACGAACCAAGAGCGCACCAAGGGGCCCCCGAGACGGTCAAGAAGGCCCCGAGTAGCCAAACCAGCGTTCGAACACGCCCAAGATGGTCCCAAGACTGCCCAAGAGACCCCCAGGAGGGCCCCTCGGCGCAAAAATTGGCCCGTTCCCTTCGTGAAACGTACATTTTTCACAAATTTGCCTTTGGGGCTTTCCGACGCTCCCAGACGGCCCTGGAGGCCTCCAATACAGCCCCAAGGTAGCCCAGAGGCGTTCGAGCCGGGGTCATCCGCGCTCCGGTTGACCCCGGCTCGAACGCCGCCGGGGGGAGCAAAGGGCCCGAAAACGAACCAAGAGCGCACGAAGGGGCCCCCGAGACGGTCAAGCTTCGCCATGCCTCTCAATCTTTTCTTCTGGCACTTGCCACTGCACTGTAACGCCTGGCAGCTACGAGCAGTGAAAGCGGAAACGCGGCGATAGCCGCCGGTACGAATCAAGGGGTCGGCGGATGTGGCGTGAGCCTGGAGAATCAGTCTGGCTGTGGCTGTAGCCCTTCCTCGTGACCGGAACGGCGAAATGAACTCATCGATGGCAACAACCGCCGCACGCACTGGCCGCGGCACGCCCGCGAGGGCCAGCGGCGGGGTCCTGCAGCCGCCTGACGCTGGCACCGCCCGCGATGGCGGACAGCTGCGGGGGCTGCTCTCCTTGAGCTGGGGGGGGGCGCAAGTACAGCCTTTTGGTCACCGAAATCCCCGTTCCTGGTTCCCGGTTCCCGGCTCCTTGTTCCGGCTTGCCAATTCCCGGGTTCCTGGTCCCCTGGTCGGGTTCCAGGTCCCCGCTCCTGGGTCCCAGTTGCTGGCTGCCGCTTGCCCATTGACGATTTGTCCTGGGCGCTCGGTGTCCACACTGACTATTTGTCCTTCTCTCTCTCTCTCTCTTTCCATCGTTCCTCTTCATATGCGGACGTAGTTATACATATTATATATGTACACGTATGGGTGAACCATGTGTTCATACAAGACCAATGACGAAATACAATTGTCGCTTGGTTACTCTTTCACTTAGTTTGTTTGTGTATCTCTCTCAGAATAAACACACATGCATCGCAAGCGGCTGTATGGTTATCATTTCCAGATATGTGTATAGTCTTACCTCTGCGTGTCAGGTTCTATATGTATATGACCAGTGCACATGTACAAGTAAGTGGCACGTGCGTGCCTAGGCTCATGAAACATGTGTGCAGGATGTCTCTATATGTGTGTGTTGTTCGTGAGAGGTGTGTGTGTGTTACGTGTGTTGTGTGTGGTTATTGTTTGTCTTGTGTGTTTTGTGTGCTATGCGTGAGTCATGTGTGCATCATGTGTGTTCTGCGTGTTACCTGTGTTCGGAGTGTGCGTTGTGTGTGTGTTGCTTGTGTTGGCTGTGTGTTGTTTGTGTGTGTGTGTGTGTGTGCGCACGTGCGTGTGTTCTCTGTATGATGTGAATGTTGTGTGTGTGTTCAGTGTGTGTGTGCGCGCGTTGTGTGCGGTGTATGTTGTGTGGTGTGCGTGTGCGTTCTGTGTACTGTGCGTGCTGTATGTCGGGGCTCCATGTTGGGAGGATGTCTCAGGCGAACTTACCTCTTGTTATACGATCGTGTTGAAAAAAGGGGCTCGATGTTTGGAGGACGTCCCAAACGAAACTGCGAATTTCGAACATTATGGCTGTAACTCATTGAATGTCATTGTGTTTGAAAATTGTGTCGTGCAGCGACTGACGAAACAATGTTTTTAGACCGTGACGTCTCGATCTGCGTGAGGGGCGCTACTGGTTGCAAAACAGGGGGGTGCCCGGAGCGTAACGGCCAGAATGATCGCGGACGACACAATAATCGCACCTGAGCACTACTCCATCGGAGAGGAGAACATCAATCGTTCTCGACGTTTCTTTCTCTCTCTCTCTCCCTCTATCCCTCTCTCTCTCTCTCTTTTTCCCTTTCTGTATCGTCTGTCTCCTTCTCTTTCTCGTTCGCTTCCTCTCTCCCTCTCATTGCTTCGTTGGTCGATATCGTTCTCGCTCTCTCGTTCTCGCCTTCTCTCCCTCTCTCTCTTTTTCTATATTTCTCTCGTTCTCTCGCTTCCTGTATATGGTGTTATTCCGTTTTACGTGTTGTTGTTATATTTGTTTGTTTTTCTCTCTCTCTCTCTCTCTCGATGAAGATGTTTATATACACTAGAACCATCGTGCGCGCTTCGCACGCGCTCAGATTCTAGCCAGCCGTGATCGGCGAACGCATGTAATATCATGTTGGTCGCTTCTTGCGTCGAAACCCTCCTCCGGAGGCCCCGCGCAAACCTCGGAATCGTATAGAAGTGGAAGTGCGGAAACGCAAACACCACGACTTTCGTTTAGGTGTTCAACGATTTGGGGTCCTCAAAGGTTTCTTGGGTTCTTTTCTGGGAGGTGAGGGGGGTCTTCATTGTGGTCGGTGGCGCAAAGTCGAGCGAAGTAGAGCGGGGACCAAACATGAAGAACAAACAAAAATTACCCCCAGTGCGACCCTACCTAGAAGTTGGAGCCCTTAGGGAAGCAGCATTAATGCTATGCGATGCCATGCTATGCTGCGCTGTGCTCTGATATGCCATGTTATGAAACGCTGCACTATGCTATGCTATGCTATGATATGCGATGTCACGCGGCGTTGTGTTATGCTAAACGATGCAATGCTATGTTAAACTGCGCTATATGATCTGATATGCTATGATATGATATGCTAATCTATGATATGCGATGATATGCCATGCCATGTTATGATAATCCAGCTCTGCGCTATGCTATGCTATGCTAAGCTAGCCCTCTAGGCAGAGCCTCGGTAGGGAATTCCACCCATACGAATGCTACGCTCTGCTATGCGATGCTGTGCTCTGCTATGCTAAAGCTCAGCGAAGCTAAGATGAAGGTAAGCTAAGCCAATATAAAACTGGGGTAATACGAAGCTAAGCTAAGGTATGATGAAATAGGCTCAGTTAAGATGAGATACGCAGCGCGAAACTCAGGGAACGTCACTGGGGGAACCGCGGTGCGGATCCTGGGGGAACCGCCCCGGGCGCGCCCCACTGCCCGGCCCTTTAAGCCTCAGAGTAGGAACCCTTCTAGGCAGAGCCTCGGTAGGGAGAAAACCTGGCGAAGGACCCAACCATGTGCAATTGTGAACGCCGCGGTTGTGAATATTATCATCGCTCGCGCTCCCTATGGGGCCGCGAACCGTGCGAGGGGCGCGCCGAAAGGCGCGGCGGGGTCAACAATACGAACAAAGACGGTCGGTCTGAGTGCGAGAGGCTGAGAACGGGCGAGCCTGAGCGCGAGTGAGTCAGATTGTGAATGAGTCTGCGCGCGAATCAGTCTACGCGCATGAACGTCGACGCCCACGTCGGCGCGCCGAGGATCGCGCCCGCTTCCGTCCTTTTCTTGTCCTGTCTCTTTGCCCGCGCGAGCCGATGTCCATGGCTGCGGGCGCGGCGACGCGCGGGGTCCCCGCGACGCACGCTGAGCGCCCCAAAGGGATCCCGGCGACGCTCGCGGGTCGTCCGCTGCGCGGAACAGAGAGAGCTAGCTGGCTGGCTGATAACGAGCAATGCTGCGGCCGCTGGGAGGAGCGACGACGGGGGCGAGCGAGGCTTTGGGCAGAGCGCTGGTCGCCCCGAAGAGGGCCCCAGCGACGCGCGCGGGTCGCCCACGGCGCGAGGCCAAACAGTCAGACCGTCGAGATACGGCGAGGCTCGGGCGGGCCGCTCCTCAGGTCAAACCTCGCGGAGAAACTCGGTGGAGCCCAGCTCCCTGGCGAGGGCCGTCGCCTCCCGTCTGCACCGCTTCGCGCGGTCCGCAAACTACTCCAGTTGCTTCCGAAATCCCTCCGGCGGCCCTGCCAGGAAGCACTCGATGCGCGGCGCCCGCATGAGCAGGAGGTCCTCGTTGCACGTGGTACGCGAGAGCAGCGCGTAGAGCTCTAGCCACCAGTCGTCGTCCTCCTTCTAGCCGTTCCCGACCTCGTGGCGGCCACTGCGACCTGCGCCGCTGGGACCGTAGGTGGAGTTCCATACAGGGCCACGAAAAGTGTGAAGGGTGTGCCAAACTGGGGCGAGGCCGTCATGTGAGCTGCGCCACTGGGACCTTGGGTGGAGCTCCCTATGGAGCCACGAAACGTGTGAGTTCCGCCACTGGGACCTTAGGTGGAGTTCCCTTTGGGGCCACGAAACGCGTCAGGGGTGTGCCAAAATGGGGCGAGGCCGCCATGCGAGCCCCGCCACTGGGACCTTAGGAGGAGCTCCCTCTGGGGCCACGCAACGTGTGAGAGGTGTACCAAAATGGGGCGAGGCCGCCATGCGAGTTCCACCACTGGGACCTTGGGTGGACCTCCCTATGGGGCCACGACGGGTGTGAGGGGTGTGCCAAAATGGGGCGATGCCGCCATGCGAGTTCCGCCACTGGGACCTTAGGTGGAGTTCCCTCTGGGGCCACGCAACGTGTTAGGGGTATGCCAAAATGGAGCGACGCCGCCATGCGAGTTCCGCCGCAGGGACCATATGAAGAACTCCGTATGGGACCACGAAACTTTTGAGGGGTGTACCGCATGGGTGACGATGACGATGATGACGATGACGATGACGATGATGACGATGACGATGGCGATACTGATGATGATGATGATGATGATGATGATGATGATGATGATGATGATGATGTGGATGTGGATGAGGATGATGCTGCGGATTATGATACTGATGAATGATGGGTGATGGTGATGATGGTGACGATGATGCTGATGATGGGGAGAGGAAGGGGGGCAGCGGGAGGAGAAGGAAGGAAGGAGGACGCGAGCGATGTCTCTTCAAAACGAGGACTCGACACCACAGGATGGTTGGTAAAAAGGAATTGTGCGATTTCCATGTTTTTCCAGCTCCTCGGCGCTGTTCGGCGTTGTTCTTTGTTTGTGCCTCGCGGGTTTTGTTCGCCGGCCCCGCAGGGGGGGGATCTTCCTGACCCCCTGGGGGGTTGTGGAAGCCTCCTGGAGGCCTGGAGAGCCGTCGGAAGGGTGTCTCGGGCTACGCGGGAACGTGGTGGACGGGGCTCCTTGGGGTCGTCTTGGGCTGTCCTTGGGCGTCTTGGGGGTGCCTGGGAAGCCGGGAGGCGCAGTACCGGCCAGATGGCAGGGCATGTGTGGGATCTCCGATTAGGAGTGCCACTCTGGAAAAAAACGGGATTCTGGGAATTCCCCTTTTTTCACAATCCTCGATCTTCGAGGGTTGGAAGCGGGAAAACGTGAGAAGGCGGAAAAACAATAGAAAATACATTGGAAATCAAAGATTTGACCCTCTGTGGGCTCTCTCGGGACGGCTCTCGCAGCTCTCTTGGGCTGTTCTTGGAGCCTCGTCGGGGTCTTTTTGGGGCCTCTCAAGGATCGGGGGTGTGTTGGGGGCCGCTGGGGGGTCCCGGACGCCTCTCGGAGGTCTCTGGAACCTGCTCCCGCTCTTGGGCCCATCTTGGGCCTGTTCTGGGGTGGTCTGGGGCTGTCCTGGGCGCCTCTTCGGCAGTCTTGGAGCCTTTTTAGCCCGTCTTAGGGCCGTCCTGAGGGTCTCTTGGGTGGTCTTGGGGCGGTCTTGGGCGGCTCTTCGGCGCTCTTGGACCATTGGAAGCTCGAAAACGCGAGAAGCCCAAAACATGGGAA